ACACACACACACACACACACACACACACACACACACACACACACACATACACAAACACACTTACCTAATTCCTTTGTATTTTACTGTTAATCTCGTTTGTAATATTTCAAACCTTGCCCCTTTTTAGTACCAATGCCCAAAATATCTGTTAATGTAATTTTTACTCCAATAGCTCAATCTATGTGGCCGGACACTGATTTCCAAGATACAGGCATGTGCCTAGTTTGGTTGATGAGTTTGAACAAATCACTTTGTACAACTAGTGTAATTACCATTTATCTCAATTTTGTGATACAATCTTTTTTGGGAATAAATTATTATTATTATTATTATTATTGTTATTATTATTATTATTATTATTATTATTGATTAGTCTGTGACTACGCTGACCTCGTTCATCATCCCACCTTCGTATCAATCTTGTTCTCGAATTCCTTTTCCTTCCACTATTCTTACGTTGGTTCGTTCGTTCACATTTGATTAGTAACAATGCAATTTATTTTATGTTAAATATGACGACTCTGGAACTTTTCTACTCCTGTACTTTAATGTATCGATCATAATTTTTCGAGCTCCTTGTGAAGTCGTCCGTTAACTAATACGCAGCTAAGTGAAATTGTTTAAAGATATTTCAGCTATGCATCGTTAAGGTAAGTTCCGATAGGTCGAACACGTTAACCAATTTTAACTGTTTCTAAAAAAGAATTTTGTGCTCTATTTTTATCTATTTGAAACGGATATTTAACTATTTGTCACTTAGCCTTTTTAATTAGTGGACGGCAGATCACCTTACCTATTTCTGCCGCCAAGCATGTTAGCATTACTGCGTACCGGTTTTGAAGGGTAAGGGTGCTGGTTTAATTACAGGCACATGAGACTTGTCAATTTATGTCTCAGGCTGATGGGCGCATTGGCAGTGCCTCTCAGATCTTTGCGATTCAAAGCACTGAGTGACACTGCAACTGTTATGGACAGGCGTGTAGCTTCCCATCAGGTACACGATTGGTTCGTTCCGTCACTTTATATTACAAAGAAACTCTTAAATAAGAAAATCTTTAATATTACAATCCCTCTTAAGTAAGTGATTTATTTCCATTAGTAAATATAATTTGTTTATTACAAAATTAATATAGTAAATACGGAAAACAAGCGTAACTTGAAATGTCCCAAGTAACAAAAACATGTCATATAAAGGTTTATAAGGCCTATGAATTTTCTCTTATAAAGCCAAATTATCGTTTATAAGTGGGGATTCAATCACAATTTCAAAGGCTTAAATCTTCTACATACCATAATATTGTTGTTTTATGACAAGCAAATCATTTTTGCAAAAGTTTTATTGTCAGTGTTTTATGAACTTATCTAAGGTGCATAAAAAGTGACAAAGAAAATAGCATTTTGTAATTGCAATATCTTAGCTTTTTGTAAGAGCCTTAAAAAAGTCATATTGCTCTCAATGGTAGATATTAACAAAGTCCGGGTATGTTGCTGAAAAAAAACGTGTGGGCTAACAGTAATCCCATTGCCTATCTGGATACTGTACGGACATACTGATGAAACTGCCTCCGTGGCCAAACGGTTACCATGCCGGACTGCCACGCAGAGGTCCCAGGTTCGATTCCCGGGCCGGGAGAAATAGTAGTACGGCCTACAATTAGTTCTCTCGTGAGTTTGGGTGTAATTTGTGGTTGTCTATGTGTGTGTCCATGGCACCCGCGACACAGGGTTTCCCTAGTGCGGGGCTATGTTGAGTGTGTGCGTTATTTATTATATTATTATTATATAACATTTGGTGTAATTAAACCCTTGACCCCACATCGCCGTGTTAGCCCAATGGTTTGACCTCCCGTCTATCAAGCAGAAGCTGTGGGCACGCACGGCTAAAGTTCTTGGAATTTATGTGCAAGATTTAATTTGAAATTTATCATGAGCTTTTCGGTGAAGGAAAACATCGTGATGAATCCTGTCTTACAAGAAGGTTGACAACCCTCGGAAAACGTGTGAAGTCCCCACGCGGCATTGGGCCAGCAGCGTGACGGACTTAGTCTAAACCCTCGCCTGAGAAAAGACTTGTGCCCAGCATATAAATATATAAATGGATTAATGATGATGATGATCGACCAGACCAATAATGTCTCCAATGTAGTATTTCATGGGATTTATCACGGAGAATATGCGATGGAATTGTAGGATATAATTTCGCCTAATGTTGTGGATTTTCCCTAGGATTCGCACGAAACGTTATGCTTCCACATTTATATGGCGAACGGCCACGGAGTGGAATTCGCTACCCGCAGATTTCGACCCCTCCTACGTAAAGTATCGTATGTCGAAATTGCCAAGTTTACAGGGGAGCGTTTTAAAGTTCACCGTTTTGTTTGGCAAAACCTCATTACTGACATAGAGTCATCATCTAACCGATATCTAGGATTTAACAATACTCTATGCGAGTAACAAGCTTTGCCGAATAAAACTGAGAAATGCTAAAGTCACGTGTTATGCTCATTGCAGTGAATTGAGAACTTTAAAACGCTTCCCTGTAAACTTGGCAATTTCGACATACGATACTTTACGTAGGAGGGGTCGGTTTATTCCCTGAACTTTTCAACTTGGGCGTTATCAAGGCGAGAGTGAATAGGCATTATTTAAGTGTGCATGTCCATCGTCGACCTCATTATTACTTTCCACCAGGTGAAATGGAGGTGAAATGCGCATTTATGTCATAAAAAACAATTATACGTAAAATCAATCTTATAGAATATGATTCCACTATGTACCATGCACATTCATAATACGCACGAAGGACCAATTATATACCTTTGGCAACCATTTAATTTCACTTGATGAGTAATTGCCTACAGCGTTTTATTACCATTTCTGTAAGCCCGATTTAAAGTATACTTACTTGCAAGAAGTTTACATTTGAAACAAACTATTAATTTTTTTATGACATCAAGTTACTGGACGAACAGTTCGAGTGCCTGATGGAAAGCTACATGCCAGCTTTTATTCCACGACAGAATTAACTATTCTAACATGTTATTCTTAAAAAGAATCGTAAACTGAATGTATTCAGTATCAACTTTTCAATTTATTTATTTTTTATTACCAACATTTTTTGAGCTGTATTATAGAAACCCGAAAATGTTGTAAAATTTTAACAAAACATTATTATTTATTAGTTTTTCTTTGTAATACATCATTGACTTACAATTATATGGACGTCGGGTCCGCGCTAAAAAGTGTCCGCACTTGTAAGGCGCTAAATCGTATACAGAGCGCGACACTCCGCTTTAGTCTTCATTTGTTCTACGGACAGCGCGATACTGCGATGACATAACAATTTAAATTTCGAATAGGTTGACTTGGGACATTTTTTTCGTGGTTTTTGTATTAGACCCGTCGTCCATTTATTTGTAAGTCAATGTAATACATAATTAGAATTGGACTTGTGAACATTATGGAATTAACGACGTTCTGATTGTCTCTTGCCGCCGAAGTCTTAAAGACTATTATTATAATTTATAAAAACTACACATATTGTGGCACACAATAAATACATTTCATTACAATATTGTGTGAGTGTTATCAATATTGTGTCGTAATATATTTTATATATATTAAATTAAAATTTGCAAAGCATTGAAAACTTCGCGGCAAAAAATTTATGAACACAATGACTTTTTTTTCCTTAAATAGCATATTTGAACATTTTGTTGTCTTCAGCTGGTATGAAACTGGAAAATAAACGATTTTTTGGTTCTAAATCACGTAAATTTACCTACACATTTTTTCGTACAAAAAAACGGTTTTTTTCGAAAAACTTCTTTCATGTAGCAATCACCAGGCGCGCGACTTGTTCGTCCCGTCGCGAATAAATCGCGTAAGCCTAACTGGAGTACCTATGTAATTATTATTCTCGTATGAACACTCTTTGTCATGTGATATGAATTAATGATAAAGTATATAATAATATATTATTACTTTTAAACGAATGATCCATTTCTTTATTGCTTGTAAAGCAGGTGTGTTAATAAACTTATATGGTATAGTTAGGCATGCTAGGTATCTAACCACCGTATTACAGTCCCGTCTTTAATTCTACGTATCAATTTAGGTACAACAAGATTCAATAAATACTAAGATTGTATAGTTACTGTTCTCTTAATACCTT